CCACTCGGGCTGCTCCACGAGCCGTGTGGCGTGCTCGTCCGCCACGCGCAGCGCGGCGTCGCTCGCGCCCGCCTGCGCCTCGATGATGGCGCACAGCTGCTCTGGCGAGAGGCCCGCGACGCGGGCGCCGATGCGGTGGGAGGCCATGGCGGCGAGGTGCAGCGGCCACGACTGCTTTTCTTTTGAGCTTAGCCTTCGATGTTATGAAAACAAACGCAAGGCGGACATGGCATATCGCTCTCGGGCTCACAGACATCCCTCACACCCGCCGCACACCCGCCGCCCCCGCGCGCGCCCCACCCCGGCCGGGAGAAAGGGGAGTGACAGTTTGGGATTACGAGCCCGAGTATGTTGAGTCCTGGCTCAACAACGCAGAGAACAAGAGGGGGTGGTCCGGCTCACAAGTCCGGCTCACGCGCCTCGAGCTCGCCATCTACCGCACTGAACACTTCCGCCCCCTCGCTCCCAACCCACCCACCTCGCCTCGGGCCGCGCCGCGCAATCTCGGGCGATCTCGCGCTATCTCGGGCGATCTCGGGGCCGCGCCGCGCTATCTCGGGCGATCTCGGAGCGTCGCTCGCGCGGCGTCACACCTGCTCAAAAAGGAAGGAGGTTGGAGGCAGGAGGTCACGCCCCATCCAGAGCGCCGTCGTCGCCGGGTTTTTGGCCCCCGGGTCGTCGCCCGACGGTTGCTGCGCGGGGCAGCAGAAAAAAAGAAAAAAGGACCTGCGGCTGCCAACTGCACTCCAAGTGCTCCAAAAGGGCCTTCGGCAGGAGGACAAAACGAATACGCGTGTGTCGGCCGCGGCGGCGCAAAAAGAAGAATTTTCTGGGTGTAGACAAAGAAAATGTGGTGTTCATTAGCTCCGAGTGGAGGGGGCGTCCGCAGTTAAGGGGAAACCCGGTACGCGGGGCCAACCCTCGGAGACCCGTGTTTACGGCCCTCTCCCTGCGAATGCGCACCCCCCCTAGCTAGGGGTCAGGGCTCTCTAGCCCGTAGCCCGATGCCGATCATCCGGCTCGCTGGGTGCGCTTCTTAAAGGGTGTGGATGCTGGGTTGAACGAAATCGAGGGACGCGACCCACTTCGCCACAGACGGTCCCGCGCCTCGCCGCTAAGACGGCGACACGGCCGCAGCTCGTGTGCGTGTCGCCGTCTTTGTCCGGAGTGAAAAGTCCAACGCGCTCGTCGGTGACGGTGTCCCTCGATTTCGCCGCGCTCCGGCACCGCTCCGGGACGCACGCCGGCGAAGCACGTCAAGCTGCTGTACGGCCCCGGAATCGCCTCCCCTCGCTTAGCTAGACTGAGAGTTATTGTGCACATGGCCAGTCTCTACAATATGCTCACTGACACCCCCCCCCCCAGAGCTCGTCCCGGTCCGCCACGGCCATCCTCGGCCTCCGGAGGGCCCCCGGCCGCGGCGCGGTGCGGCGGCGTCACAAATCCGACGGCAGAGCACCGGGACGCGGTCGGGCGATCTGAGGTCCAGTGAGGCGTATGCATTGCCCATCCAGGGCTATCACATGGACCTATCAACAGGCGCCTGCGGCGGAGCAGGAGGGCCCGGCGCACAACCCCCTGTTCAACTCACCCTCCACACCCCGTCTAGCTCCCTGGCCCTGGATGTGAGGTTGCCGACTGCACTCCAAGTGCTCCAAGTGGGAGGAAAAGAATTTAGAATTAAGAACAAAGCTCCCTCGCACGACAAAAAGAATTTATATCGTTGCCCGCGCGTCGTGTTTTCTTTCTATATATTTGCGATCTAAGGACCTCTCTGAGGCTCTTGACGCAGAGGCTTGGCGAGGGTAGCACTGGTGCACTGCCATTGCGGGGCGACCACCTAGAGAGAGCCTATGAGACAAAGAGATCCACTCGCGCTGTCGCCATCGGCGCCACCTCCTCCCACGCATTCGCAGCCGGGTCGTACCGCTCCACCGAGGGGGAAAATCCCGTCCAAATCCCGTTGCGCTGCAAGCCGCCCACCGCATACAGCTTGCCTTCAAGCACCGCCACTCCGAGACCGTTCCGCGCCGTGGCCATCGGCGCCACCGCCTCCCACGCGTTCGTCGCGGGATCGTACCGCTCGACCGAGCTCAGGACGCCGCCGTTGTCAACGTCGTATCCGCCGACAGCGTACAGCTTGCCGTCGAGCACCGCCATGCCGAGATGAGACCGCGCCGTCCTCATCGGCGCCACCGCCTCCCACGCGTTCAGCGCCGGATCGTACCGCTCCACCGAGCTGAACCCGCCCTCGTCGTCGTTCAAGCCGCCCACCGCATACAGCTTGCCTTCAAGCACCGCCACTCCGGGACCGTTCCGCGCCTGCGCCATCGGCGCCACCGCATCCCACGCGTTCAGCGCCGGGTCGTACCGCTCGACCGAGCTGAGGCAGCCGCCGCCGTACCCGCCCACAGCGTACAGCTTGCCTTCGAGCACCGCCACGTCAAGATCGCCCCGAGCCGCCGACATTGGCGCCACCGCCTCCCATGCTTTCGTCGCCAAGTCGTACCGCTCCACCGAGGGGGAAAATTCGACGTTGCGCTCCATGCCGCCCACTGCGTAGAACTTGCCGTCGAGCACCGCCTTACCGACATTGCTCCGTGTCGTCGGCATCGGCGGCATAGTCTCCGCTTCCCCCTCCCACTCATTCGTAGACGGGTCGTAGCGCTCCAGCGAGCTGACAAACTCGCCGTCGCTGCCTTCGCCGCCGATCACGAGCAGGCGCGGCCGATCGCGCTTCTTCAGCGTCTCCTTCCAGCCGCGGCGCCACGCGCGGCACGTCCCCTTGATGGCGTGCTCCTTGGTCGGCAGCCGGGCGAGGATGTGCGGTGCGAGGTCCGGCGAGAGGAGGACCTCGGAGAGCACCCACTCGGGCTGCTCCACGAGCCGTGTGGCGTGCTCGTCCGCCACGCGCAGCGCGGCGTCGCTCGCGCCCGCCTGCGCCTCGATGATGGCGCACAGCTGTTCTGGCGAGAGGCCCGCGACGCGCGCGCCGATGCGGTGGGAGGCCATCGGCGGCGAGGCTCGCGATGTTTCCCCACGCGGGGTAGCTGTTTCTTTTTCGTGCCAGATTATGCGACGGAATTCTTTTCCAGACCGCGCCGCGCTGCAAGCGCGGTCGTCGCCACCCGCAGCATGTCGCTCTCGTTTCTCTCGAAAAAGTCGTGGCACGTGGCGAACGTGAGCAACGTCGAGAAGGTCTGGCTGGCCGAGCAGAAGCTCGAGCAGGAGAAGAAGAAGCTCGAGGAGTACACCCACACGCTCAAGGAGGAGCGCCAGAAAGAGGAGCTGCTCCGGCTGCAGCAGGAGCAGGGCCTCGTCGCGCCGCGCAAGGAGCGCGTCGACTTTTTGTACGAGCAGCAGGAGACGGCCGCGTCCGCGTACCTGCTCGGAAAGCCCGTCGAGCTCAAGCCAGAAGACCACGACATCAAGAAGGCGCCCGCCGTCCCTCTCTTCCCCGCCCGCCCCGCCCCTCACGCCAAACCCTCGACCGCCGCGGACCGGCCGCTCTCCCCAGTCCCCTCGCGCCACGGCCCCACCCTCGCCCTCTCTGCGCCCCACCGTCCCCATTGGGCTGTCCGTGTTGCGCGTCTTGCCCTCTCTGGACAGCTGGAGTAGATGCCTGTAACGATGCTTGTCCACGGGCGGAGCTCCGTCACGATAGCGTCCTGCGTGGTGAAGCTAACAACGGCGGTGGCTTCGTCC